CGGGCTCGGGAACCATGTCTTCCTGATCTGAAATGGTTAATTAAGGAGTGAGCTACACTAGCCCAGTAAGAACATCACGATATCTCACCGTCACGGAGATAAAGGTGGGTAGAAAACCACAAAAGGACCAATGGAGCATAATTTACAATAAACTCGTTTATTAACAACAAAACCTTTTATCAATAATAAAACTTTTACCATCCACTTACCTTGGTGGAATTTATGAAAAACAATATGAGAAAAACAATAACATTATCATAATCATTGAATAATCTAAGCTGTAAAACATAACACTTATCACGCCTCTTGTAATTCAATCATTGTACAACATATCTTTTTCTCATTTACCAGCCTACTAGTATCCGTGGGGGTCCATAGGGGTTCCGCTACCCGTTAACCTTTAACATTCATAATCAGTTTCCAGGGCCGTCCCCATACCCCGTCCGGTATGGGCGCCAAAACCATGAACCTCAATACCCCGTCCGGTATGAGGGTGAAACGGGCCGTCCCCATACCCCGTCCGGTATGGGCGCCAAAACCATAAACCTCAATACCCCGTCCGGTATGAGGGTGAAACGGGCCGTCCCCATACCCCGTCCGGTATGGGCGCCAAAACCATAGGATCTCCATACCCCGTCCGGCATGTGAGACCACAATCCCGGTAGGGTTCCCTACGGACCCGGTCCGTCCACCATCTCCCAGGATATCTAGTCAGGCTGACCCCCATAATACAATTATCAGTCTACACAATCTTTCATTTTCCTTTTCCTCAATCAGCATCATCAATTCACATTTAAACAAGCAAATCGTACTTCATACCAAACAGACAACATACAGTATCAGTTTTTCAGTCATTCAACCCATAATTAATAAAAACGTAGTACATGCACACAAATCTGTAAAATGAACACATCAAACCTCATTTTGCATTTAAAGCTGTAAACAGGCCAAATAACAGTAAATCATCAATCACACTAGACTCGGGCTCCATTAGCAACCTTAAGCAATTTCACACATGCGTTAATTCAAGAAATACCGTTTTATCATTTTGAACTTTAATACCGTGATAGGAAATAGGGTGAGGGGTCCTTACTTGTTTTAGGGATCCGAATACGATTCACAGTGCGCCTGCAGGCCGTCCCTAATTTTCCCTGAATTTTTCCCGGGGAACTGAAACACACTAACAGTACCTGCACGTGTTCCAAAAAAAATCCAAATTAGGCCCAGGGCCCCTTTCGGACCAAATCGCAACTCCGGCACGGCGGCTCTGCCGTGCTCCGGCGACGGCGCCGCCGCTGGCGGCGGCGAGTCGCCTCGGGTTGGCTGTTTTCGGCCGAATTCGGCCACGCTCGCATTGGTCCTTGTCAGAAAACAACCCTAGGGCCCTCGGGGGGCCAAAAAATCACGGAAAAACGGAGCTTACCGGCGGCGGCGCTCTCGGGTGCAGCGGCTCTCCGGCGAGGTTCGTGTTTTGGTGATTCGGCTCCGGTCAACCTGTAGAGAAAAGAATGGTGATCACGGTGATATAAAAATTGCATCGAACGGAGGCCGGGAAGGGCCTCGTCGGAGGCAAAAACCGAGAGGGGGCGCGGCGGCGCCGCTGGGCTTCGGCCGCGTATTCCGGCCGTTTGGCCGGGATTTCGGCCTCGATTTGGCCATAGGAGGAATCAGCGGGGAAAAACGAGTCGGGGGTATGAAATTTACCTCGATCGGCGGTCGGAAATTTCCCCGGTGCGGCGGCGAGTGGCGGCGGGTGGCGGCGGTCGGCCTCTGGTTCGTCTTCTCCGGCGAGCGGCTGGCGGCTAGGGTTTTTGGTCTGGTGTGGGGGTTCTATTTATAACCCATTGCCTTTTGATTGCAGCCGTTCATTTCGTTTTAATCTGGGCCGTTCGTTTTTGATTGAATCTGGGCCGTCCGATCGCGCGATTGATCTGGGCCGTCGGATCGCACCCACGCGGATCGCCAACGTGGCTCCTTTCGGAGTGACGCGATCTTGCCACGTGGCAGGCCCTGGTTGGCCGGGACTGCTGACCGGGCCTGCTGACGTGGCTGCTGACGTGGCCCCCCCCCTTTTTTTTTTTTTTTTTTTTTTTTTTTTTTTTTTTCCTCCTTTCCGGGTGCTACACTTTCAACTAGGTTGTAATTTTCTCAACAATCATTAATCATTGAAGCAAAATGTAGACGAGTAAAATTACACACACACACACACGCACGCACGCATACATATATATATATATATATATGCATATGTATGTGTATCCCCCCATTAGTAAATTGCAATAACAAAGTCCTGTTTCAAATGGTCACCGGTTCATGCTCTGCCTCCCGCTGCTGTGAAAAATTCTACAGATGTCGAAGTTAATTTCTGTAATATGGTGATCAAAAAAATATTTACTGTTTGTTAGAGATATTTTTTAAAGAAAAAAATATATTAAATATTTAAAAAAGTAAATAATTTCACCGTTTTCTTGAAAAAAAATTTCTTTCAGAATTTTCAATTTTTTTTTCTTAGATTTCATGTTTCTTTTTTTTTTTTTTTTCTAAAATAATTTCCCATATATCTCTTTTAAAAATAATTTATTTTCATATTGACATTAATTTTAGTAGCTATTAATTTATGATGTCATTTTTAAAATTTTTTTTTACAAATAATAAAAAAATTTGGGTATTTCTTGAGTGATAACAGAAAAGATTTTATAAATATAATATTTCTTGCGGCCGAATATCAGTTCAAAACGATATCGTTTCATGGTTCTGTAACTGTTGCGTCGTTGACTTTGTTAGACACTGAATCACTGAAACAAACCCTAAAAAAACCGCCATAGCCGATACTCTCCTCGGCTCGTGACAGCCAGAGGGAGGTCAAAGCCAACAACTGGAAAGGAAAATGGTGGTGAAAAGCTACGTGGTGGTTCACAACATAGCGAAAAGGCACAACGTGGGAACACTGGCACGAAGCGCCACGGCCTTCGGGGTGTCGGAGTTGATCCTCGTCGGCCGTCGAGACTTCAACGCCTTCGGCAGCCATGGCTCAACCTCTCATGTTCGCTTTCGCCACTTCAACTCTCTCCTCGACGCCCGCCTCTTCCTTAAGGTGTCACTTTCTCCCCCCGCCATTTTCCCAATTGGATAGCTACATACATGCATAGTAATGATATTTAATCTTTTTTTTACTTTGATTTTTGATTTTCCAGGACCAGGATTGTGATATTTGTGGCGTTGAAATCACGGACGGCGCCATTGCCGTCAACGAACATCCTTTCAAGAGGAGTACCGCTTTCCTTCTCGGCAATGAGGTTTGAATTCTCTTCTCCTCTTATGTTTGTTGCATTTGAAATCCCGCATGTGAAATTGGATAGTAGAACTTCGAACATTCTGTTAACTAAGTAATCGCTTTCTTTCCTTGTGGCTAAATCTTTATCAGATGGCCAAATCTTTATCACTTTGTTCTGTTACGAGAAATGGGCGTTGCTTTTTGCATTTAGAAATTTGATTAGCACTAATTAGCTAGTTATTGCAGTAAAACAGGAATCGAACTTTTTTTTGGGTGTGTTAATTTAGAACTGAATCCTTATTCGCCATGGCAAGTTTGAACGCATTTGACGTAGACTGTCAAAAGAATAACCTAAATTGTTATCAAGTTAACATGTCATTGTGTGTTTTTCCTATCGGAAGGCTTTTATTTTGCTTTATTCTTTTGATAGAATGGTGGATAGGTCATTTACAACTTTATTTCTTTCATAGGGAACAGGCCTTTCCGCTAAAGAATGCGAGATATGTGACTTCTTTGCATACATCCCTCAGTATGGCTGGGGCACTGCCTCCTTGAATGTTACTGTAGCAGCTTCCATTGTCTTGCATCAATTTGGAGGTAAGTTACTGTGGACTCTTCGTGCCTTCTCTTTTTCATTCGAGAGGAAAGAAAAGGAAAAGGAAAAAAATCTTAAAATTTTGTTCCACATATATTTTTAACATGCTCCATAATCCTTATTAGAAGCGCAACATCATTCTTTTAAATGTTATTAGAAGCATAATGTCATCTTTGGACTCAACCGTCAAGTTTTGCCATGCACTTCCATGATTGTTCATAATCATTTCCTTGTCTAGCAATATCTTATTGGTTGAGAAGGATAGTTGTAGATTTCGAATGTCCTCTCTTTGTTCACCTCCTTATGTTTTTATATTTGCTTAACACGCAGAAATATTTAATCTTTTCTTGCAGTTGTAGCACATATAAGGATGATATTGCCCACATGTAGATTGAATATTGCCTCTTTGTTCACCTCCTTACATTTTTATATTTGCTTAACATGCAGAAATATTTAATCTTTTGTTGCAATTGTAGCACATTTAAGGGTGAAATTGCTATATGTAGATTGACTATTGCCGCCTGGGTAATGCCTTCAGAGGAAAAAAATGTTCACATATAGTTTAAAAGTTTTAAGTAAATACTCCGGCAAATTTTCTTGTGCCAAAACTATTTGGACATGGTTTGCAGATGCAGCTCCACTTTTTGCTATTTTTTTTTAGCTTTTCCATTAAATTGATTCTCTTGTACCAGTTGTGGCCTATAGTACCTTTTTTGATAAGTTCAATTACCACACGCTAATACCTAAACTATATAGAGATAAATCCTATTGGCTTTCTTGTATTTGTATTCTATTTTTTTCCCAAGAATCTTTCTCCTACTATATCTGTTGTTTCTTCCAACTGGTTTTTTACCTTGATTTAAGACATTTTTTCATACTTAATGTGGAAACACAAGGGGTAGGACTTTTAGAGCATGTGCTATTTGTTAATTTATTTCAATACAGCTTGTTAAACTTCTTAATTATTACCTTCTGCAGTTTGGGCTGGTTTTCCAGAGAGACTTCGGGACGGTAACAAGTTTGTCGTGGCCGAGAGGCCTGTGAAACAGGTCAGACGAAATTACTGCATGGAAACAGCAGATTCTATCATTGAAGAGCGAAAGTCTAGGAGGGAAAATGCAGCTAATGGATTCTTTGATGATAATGGAAAGGACTGTCCATCTTCAAATCTTTTGGATGGATTGTTCAGTGATGAGTGATTGACAAAGTCAAAGAAATGGCTTATTAC